TGCTTGGTAGGAACCTACAAATGCTGAGCTCAGCGTCTGAGCCGCCTGCCCAAAGAGCCTGATTATTTTTAGATAAGATGGAAAGCGGAGAACGAACGAGGCGTTCTGGGCCGCAGCCCGGGAGAGGCGTGAGTTGCCTTCCTGATGAGGAAGGGAAAGGCGGAGGAGGAAGAGAGAGGACAACAATGACTTCGCCGGCCGTTCATATGGGTTTCCACAAAGAAGTAAAAGGAGGAAAAGACAAGTGAATTTTCATCTCAAATGAACACTACAACTACAATGTCTTACAAAACTAAATCTGGGGCAAATGCCCCACACAAGCCCCTGCTGACATTAAGATACATCCGATGGGTGGGATTCAAAGCTGCGTACAATGATGACATAACATACAAATTCAAACAAAAACCATCACAAACCAAACGAACAAATTGCATGCGGCAGAAACCATATATCTATATAAATAAAAATGTAATGTTCATTTGTGGGATTAACAGAACTTAAAAACCACTGGACGAATTGACACCAAATTTGGACACAAGACACCTATCAGGCCAACAAGAGACCATTACTCATAAGAACCCTGAAAACACATCAGAAGAGACTTAAAAAGTCAAAAAAACAAATATACATTATAACACATGCAAACACACATATATACACGTATACAGAAATATGTACACACATACTCAGAAAGGGGGAGGGAGGGAAGGAAAGAAGGCAGGCAGGCAGGCAGGCAGGCAGGAAGGAAGGAAGGAAGGAAGGAAGGAAGGAGAGAAAGGGAAAGAAGAAAGGAAAGAAAGAAAGGTAGAAAAGGAAGGAAGGAGAGAAAGAGAGAAGGAAGGAAAGAAAGAAAGGTAGAGAAGGAAGGGGAGAAGGAAATAAAAAAGTGAAAGAAGGCAGAAAAGAGAGAGGGAAAGAAGGAGAGAAGGAACGAAAGAGAAAGAAGGAGGGAAGGAAGGAAGGAAGGAAAGAGACAAGGAAGGAAGGAAGGAAGGAAGGAAGGAAGGAAGGAAGGAAGGAAGGAYYGAAYGAYGGAAGAAGAGAAYGAGGGAAAGAAGGAGCGAAGGAAAGAAAGAGAGGTAGGGAAGGAAGTGAAAGAGGGAAGGAAGGAGAGAAAGAACGAAAGAAAGAGGGAGAGAAGGAAGGAAGGAAAGAGGCAAGGAAGGATGGAACCAAAGAGCAAAGGAAGATAGCAAAGAAACAGGTAGAGAAGGAAGGAAGAAGCAAGGAAAGAAAGAAGAAGAGGGAATAAAGGAAAGAGGGAGGGAAGGAAGGAGAGAAAGAAAGAAGGAGAGAAAGTAGGAGGGAAGGTTGGCCACAGCAACGTGTGGCGGGTACAGCTAGTCTATATAAATAAAAATGCAATGTTCGTTTGTGGGATTAACATAACTCAAAAACCACTGGGTGAATTGACACCAAATTTGGACACAAGACACCTGTCAGGCCAATGATTGACCATCACTCATAAAAACATTGAAAAACACAACAGAAGGGATTTAAAAAGCCAAAAAATAGAAAAATACATTACAACGCATTACAACGCATGCACAAAACCACATATATACACATGAATACACACACAAAACACACATACTCAGACTGGGTCACAGCAACACATGGCAGGGGACAGCTAGTATCTATATAAATAAAATATAATGTAATGTTCATTTGTGGGATTAACATAACTCAAAAACCACTGGATGAATCAACACCAAATTTGGACACAATACACCTATCAGGCCAATGAGTGACCATCACAGTGGAAGGGACTTAAAAAGTGAAAAGGGAAAAACACGCTGCAGCACATGCACAAAAACAACTCCCCCTGGCAAACAAAACACACAGTAGCATATCCACACTCTCTTCTGGACCACAGCTCCCATCATCCCCTAGGAGCAGGCCCTTTAGGAGAGGAGGAGGAGGAGGATCCAAATGCGCTGTTTCCAAGATGCAAGCTTTGTTCTCCTTGGATTTCTTTGAGAGCATCCCAATCTCTGCATATTTCCAATTTCCTATTCCTGGACTACAACTCCCAGCAATCCTCCAGATAGATAAGAGAGATAGATTAGAAAGAGATAGATAGATAGATAGATAGATAGATAGATAGATAGATAGATAGATAGATAGATAGATCAGGAGGACTTCTGGGACTTGCAGTCCAAGAATAGGTAGAGAAGGAAGAAAGGGGAGAAAGAGGAAAGAAGGGGGAGTCCACGGTGCTCTCTGGATGTAGGTGAACTACAACTCCAAAACTCAAGGTCAATGCCCACCAAACCCTTCCAGTATTTTCTGCTGGCCATGGGAGTTCTGTGTGCCAAGTTTGGTTCGATTCCATCGTTGGTGGAGTTCAGAATGCTCTTTGATTGTAGGTGAACTAGAAATCCCAGCAACTACAACTCCCAAATGACAAAATCAGTCCGCCCCCCCCCCAACCCCACCAGTATTCAAATTTGGGCATATCGGGTATTTGTGCCAAATTTGGTGCAGTGAATGGAAATGCATCCTGCTTATCAGATATTTATATTACAATTCATAACAGTAGCAAAGTTATAGTTATGAAGTATGAAAATAATTTTATGGTTGAGGGTCACCACAACATGGGGAACTGCATCAAGGGGTCACAGCATTAAGAAGGTTGAGAAACACTGCTGTCGACAATTGTATCCTTCTGAGATGCCTCCTTCCCACCTGCTGCTAAGGATGCCGTTTAGGTCCTGAACTGATGCTTGGCAGCTGTGATGGTCTGGATGAGTGTGAACAAATTAAAACTTAATCCAGACAAGACAGAGGTACTCCTGGTCAGTCACAAAGCCAAACAGGGTACAGGGTTACAGCCTGTGCTGGATGGGGTCACACTGCCCCTGAAGACGCAGCACAGCTTCGTAGTTTGGGAGTCCTCTTGGACTCATCGCTGAGCCTGGAAGCCTGGAATCTTGGGAAGTCAGACTTGGCAACAGAGGTCCATGCTCTGGTTACATCTCGTATAGACTACTGCAATGTGCTCTACTTGGGGTTACCTATGAAGACTGTTCCGAAACTTCAAGTAGTCCAACGGGAGGTAGCCAGGTTTCTTACTGGAGCAGCGTACAGGGAGCATACAACCCCGCTTTTACGTCAGCTCCCCTGGTTGCCAGTCTGCTACCTAGGACAATTCAAAGTGGTTATGGGGAATCTGTGTGCCAAGTTTGGTCCCAGTCCGCCATTTGTGGGGGTCACAATGATCTGTGAGAGCCGAATCAGGTGAAAGTACTGCCAATCCCATCATCTGTGGTCCATCCTCCCCCAAACCACTACAGGACGTAAAGTGGGTAACAAGGGGTCTATGTGCCAAATTTGGCCCAAGTCTGTCTTTCGTGGAGGGTCACACTAGTCTCAGGAAGTGAGTTAAGGTTTTCAAGTCCCATAATCCATGGTCCATTCTCCCCCAAACTGCACCAGGATGTAAAGTGGGTCATGGGGAATCTGTGTGTCAAGTTTGGTCCTGATCCGTCATTGGTGGGGGTAGCAGTGGGCTATGCGAACGGAAGTGATTGAAAGTACTACAAATCCCATCATCTGTGGTGTCTCCTCCCCCAATCTTCACCAGGATGTGAGTTGGGTCATGGAGATTCTGTGTGCCAAGTTTGGTCTGTCATTCGTGGGGGTCGCAGTGGCCTGTGGAAGTGGCAACCAATCAGAAAGCAGCCACATACAAACACTGACTTCTCCTGGTCAGTCGTAAGGCCGAACAGGGCATAGGGTTACAACCTGTGTTGGATGGGGTTACACTCCCCCTGAAGACGCAGGTTCGCAGCTTGGGTGTGATCCTGGACTCATCGCTGAGCCTGGAACCTCAGGACTCGGTGGTGACCAGGGGGGCATTCACACAGTTAAAGCTTGTGCACCAGCTGCGTCCGTACCTTGGGAGGTCTGACTTGGCTACGGTAGTCCACACACTTGTTACATCCTGTATAGACTACTGCAACGCGCTTTATGTGGGGTTGCCTTTGAAGACTGTCCAGAAGCTTCAACGGGTCCAACGGACGGCAGCCAGGTTGCTAACAGGAGCGGCTCTCAGGGAGCATACAACTCCTCTGTTGCGTCAGCTCCACTGGCTGCCGGTTTGCTACCGGGCACAACTCAAAGTGCTGGCTTTGGCCTATAAAGCCCTAAACCAGGCATGTAGCGGGGGGGGGGGGGGCTCGGGGGGCTTCAGCCCCCCCCCGAAATTCTCATGGTGGTTCGCGAAAAGGCCTTACTGGTGCATTATTTAAACTGTTATGTTTATTCATATCATGATCTGATCACTATACTCAATATATCCCATATGCATGGGGGTATTGGGGTAATGATACAAAAGGTTTGCTAGGCTAGACCCTCTTTCACTCAGACTCAGCCCCCGTCAGCCCCCCCAAAACCCCCCCTGAAAAAAAATTCAGCCCCCCCCCCCGAAACGAAATCCTGGCTACGGGCCTGCCCTAAATGGTTCTGGCCCAATTTACCTGTTTGAACGCATCTCCCCTTATGAACCATTGAGGACTTTAAGATCATCTGGAGAGGCCTTGCTCTCGGTCCCGCCATCGTCACAAGCATGGCTGGCAGGGACGAGAAACAGGGCCTTCTCAGTGGTGGCCCCTCGGCTATGGAACACCCTTCCTAGGGAGATCAGATTGGCTTCTTCACTTCTCGTATTTCGGAAAAATCTTAAGACATGGCTATTCGAGCATACATTTGCAAATACTGAGTAACAGACATCAGAAATGGAACAACTGCATGATGGGACTGGACAATGTTGTAATGAGTATTTATTGAATTATGTTTTATTGCTGCTGTTATGATTTTATTGATGTTAACCTTTTTATATTGGATTTGTGTTTTTGTGGCATTGAATTTTGCCTTATAAACCGCCTCGAGTTGCCGGAAGGCTGAGAGGTGCGGTATACAGATATAGTAAATAATAAATAAATAAGCCCAAACCCAGGTGGTGTATTGATCTCAATTTTATCTCTCTTTCTTTTCAGATTCGGATCAAAGCAGCAGTCCGAGGACGGCCATCGGGTCCGACCAAGAGGACAGCAAACCGATAATCATGTTGGGTGAGTCAAAGTGGGTATCTGGAACAAAATGAGAGAGGCTACAAAGGGAGGAATGTGTAGGCAGTAGGCCCCGTGTGATTCCCAGGATCTCAATTTATGACTTAAATACATTTTTCTCCATGTGCAGAATGTGCCTCGAATGGCGATTTTTTTGCAACAAGAAGAAAATGGCTCAAACATCTTCCTTTGAAGAAGAAAGTTTAAAATAATAATAATTAATTAATTAATTAATTAATTAATCAGTTTAATTAATCACCGACCTGTGCATTTGGGATAAATGGGACTTTGGCTCTTCCCATAATTATCAGTTTCTTCTCCTTTGCAGACGCGACGGATTTCCAGGAGAATTTTGTCACGTCGGGCGTCTTCAGTGTCACGGAGCTCATCCAAGTTTCTCGAAGTGAGTTGTGATTTTCGGTCTCTTTGTGTGTGTGTGCATTTATTAAGCAGGTTTGAGGTTTGACCGTGGAATTGACTGTACGACCCATATCCAAAGATATACAGTATATTCTGGCGTATAAGACTACTTTTTAACCCAAGAAAATCTTTTCAAAAGTCAGGGGTCGTCTTATACGCAGGTGTAGTCTTATGCATGGGAGTCGTCTTAACTCTATATTTTAACTGGAAAAGTTGGGGGTCGTCTTATACGCGCAGTCGTCTTATATGCCGGAATATACGGTATATTCCTTCTACACATTTTCCACAACCCTCTATAACTTCTGCCATAAGTTGTCCATTTTGCTCACTTTGGATATATCTACATTGTAGAATGCCACCTTAACATAACTCAACAGGGCTATTGTGGTTCGCATGGTGGTGCAACAGGTTAAACCGCTGAGCTGCTGAACTTGCTGACCGGAAGGTTGGCAGTTTGAATCTTCAGGACAGGGTGAGCTCCCGCTGTTAGCCCCAGCTCCTGCCATCCTAGCAGTTAGAAAAAATGCAGATGTGAGTAAATCAATAGGTACCGCCTCGGCGGGAATGTAAACAGCTCTCCATACAGTCATGCTGGCTACATGACCTAGGAGGTGTCTATGGACAACTCTGGTTCTTCGGCTTAGAAATTGAGATGAGCACCACCCTTCAGAGCCGGACGGGAAAATGTTTACTTTTATCTGTGTTGTGGTTGTTCCTAGGCATCGAATGTTTGCCTTTGTGTTTGTGTATGCTGGAATCTGACCTGAGTCCTTTGGGGAGATAGGGTGATATATAGCTAACGTATTATTATTATTATTATTATTATTATTATTATTATTATTATTGTCATCATTATCATCACGTCTTGACAGTAAGAGCGGCTACAGGAGCTTAGGGCTTGGACTGGGCCTACCTCCTTGCCTGCCTCCTTCCCTCCCTCCCCTGGGCCTGTGCACCGCCCCTTTCCCCAGCCTGGATTTCCCTTCCTGCTTCACTGTCCTTTTCCCACTCTTCTTCTCCCAGTTCTTCTCTGGAGGGAAGAAGGCAGGCAGGCTTGGTGGGGGGCGACCAGGCCATGGATCCCTAATGGCGGCTCCAGCCCTGACGGGGTCACTTTGTAGTGTGTTGCTTGGACATCCAGCAGATGGTGCTGTTTTTGATTCCAAGCATGTTTTTACCTGTCACAGATTTGACATCTATATAAAAGTAGGTATTTGAATACATAAAAACATTCACCTGTCCGAATACTGTGTTGTGTCCAAATTTCGAAGCAATCAGTGAAGTATTTTGGGAAATTTGAAATTATTCACAAACAGACATTTACATTTTTATTTATATAGATTACTAGCTATACCCATCACGTGTTGCTGTGGCCAATCTTTCATTCCTCTTTCTTTCCTTCTTTCCCTCCTTCCTTTGCTCCCTCTTTCCTTCCTTCCTTCTCTTTTTTCTTTCCTTCTCTCCTTCCTTCCTTCCTTCCTTCTCTACCTCTTTCCTTCCTCCCCCTCCTTTTTCTTTCCCTCCCTCTTTCTCTTCTTTCTTTCTTCTCTACCTCTTTCCTTCCTTTCTTCTCTCTTTCCTTCTTTCTTCCCCCCTCTCTCTCTCTTTCTTTCTGTCTTTCTTGCTCTCCTTCATTCCCTCTCTCTTTACTGCCTTCCCTTTTTCTGTATCATCATTCACTTTTTCGTCATGTGGCTTTTTTGAGTTTTAAGTCCTTTCCACTCTTTGGGGGGGGGGTAATGAGTGATGGTCACTCGTAGGTCTGTTAGGGCTGTAGTGCCCAAATTTCGTGTCAATTCGTCCAGTGGTTTTTGAGTGATGTTAAACCTACAAACAGACATTTACATTTTTATTTATATAGACTAGCCGTCCCCTGGCACGCGATGCTGTGGCCCAGTTTGTGTATATGTGTTTTGTGTGTGTATATGTGTCTGTATATATTTGTGTATATGTGTATATATTTGTGTTTGCATATATGTGTGTGTGTGTGTGTGTGTGTGTGTGGTTTTGCCCATGCATTGTAATGTATTTTTAATTTTTTGGCTTTTTAAGTCTCTTCCGCTGTGTTTTTCAGTGTTTTTATGAGGGATGGTCACTTGTTGGCCTGATAGGTGTCTTGTGTCAAAATTTGGTGTCAATTCACCCCATGGTTTTTGAGTTATGTTAATCCCACAAACAAACATTACATTTTTATTTATATAGACTAGCCGTCCCCTGCCATGCGTTGCTGTGGCCCAGTCTGTGTATATGTGTTTTGTGTGTGTATATATGTGTTTATGTCTGTATATATGTGTATATATGTGGTTTTGTGCATGCGTTGCAATGTATTTTTTTTTTTACTTTTTAAGTCTCTTCCACTGTGTTTTTCAGTGTTTTATGAGTGGTGGTTACTCGTTGGTCTGTTAGGGGTATAGTGTCCAAATTTGGTGTCAATTCGTCCAGTGGTTTTTGAGCTATGTTAATCCCACAAACAAACATTACATTTTTATTTATATAGATCTAGATATAATTGGCACGCATTGCTGTGGTCCACATGGGGGTTCTGTGTGGGAGATTTGGCCCAATTCTATCGTTGGTGGGGTTCAGAATGCTCTGTGATTGTAGTGAACTATACATCCCAGCAACTACAACTCCCAAATGTCAAGATTCTATTTTCCCCAAACTCCACCAGTGTTCACATTTGGGCATATTGAGCATTCGTGTAGAGTTTGTCCAGATCCATCATTGTTTGAGTCCACAGTGCTCTCTGGATGTAGGTGAACTACAACTCCAAAACCAAAGGACACTGCCCACCAAAAAACCCTTCCAGTATTTTCTGTTGGTCATGGGAGAACTGTGTGCCAAGTTTGGTTCAATTCCATCGTTGGTGGGGTTCAGAATGCTCTTTGATTGTAGGTGAACTATAAATCCCAGCAACTACAACTCCCAAATGACAAAATCAATTTTTTTGAGTGAAGGACATACATTGGATTGTTAGGTGTCTTGTGTCCAAAGTTGGTGTCAATTTGTCCAGTGGTTTTTGAGTTCTGCTAACCCCACAAACGAACATTACATTTTTATTTATATAGATTATTATTTACTATTATTATTATTTACTAATGCTGAGTTCCATCACTATGGGAGAAGAAGGGAAACACGTTCTTTCTACGTTTTACAGCTAACTTTCTAAAACTCTTCATGTTCCCCTTCATTTACATGTATCACAAAATCTGGGTCTAGTCTCGAGTCGAAATACTCCCTTACTGTCTATAGAGGCAGCCACACTCTCTGTGTATATCCTGTAGTGACAGCAGGGTTGGAGTCCAGGTGATCTAGCCATGCTGAAACCAGTTCAGCTCTGCTGGATTGTCACCTTAGCGTTCCTGTCCATGTTGCTGCTCCTAGACGGCCACAGAGCTCTGGAAGAACTCCTGGTCATTGCCAAGCACCATCAGGAAGTCGTCTTCATGGCCAGGGAAAATGAGGGTGAAAAGGTGGTGCCAATGGTTCCTCATGTGGACAGAGATCTGGATTGCTGTGGAACCGGTCATGCTATCCATATTCTGTCCAAAGTATGGAATTTCTCTGAAGTTTCCCCAATGTTGCTCATGCCCACATTAGGGACCAGAGGCCCCTGGATGTCATTCAGACATCCAGGAGTGATTTCTGTTCCATCTTGGGTATAGAGCCCATGTAGAGAAGCCTTTAGTCACCTCAAAACAACAACAACAACCCAGAGTCACATACACTTATCATAGAATCCTAGAGTTGGAAGAGACTTGGTGGGTCATCCAGTTCAACCTCATTCTGCCAAGAAGCAGAAAAACCGCATTAAAGCATCCCGACATGTTGGCTCATGTTCACCTTCCTCCCCATGAGGACTCCAAGATCTTTTTCACACGTCCTGCTGCCAAGCCAGGCGTCGTCCCCCATTTTGTATCTTTGCATTTCCTTTTTTCTATCTAAGTGGAGTATCTTGCATTTGTCCCTGCTGAACTTCATTTTGCTGTTACTGTTCTAATTTTTCTCTCTCCTTTTCTCTGCCGCAGCGCCGGTAGTGACGGGGACAGGGCCAAATTTCTCCTTGGGGGAATTACAGGGGCACCTCGCCTATGACCTGAACCCCTCGAGTACGGGGATGAGGCGGACCCTTCCCAGCACTTCCTCCAGCGGGTGAGTCCAAAATTTGGTTTTGCTTTTCTCATCTGTGTATGTCTCCTTTCTCGGCTTCTCCAAGAATCCCATATTCTTGTTACTGTTCTTGTTGTGCGCCTTTGGGTCCATGTATCAGGCTACCGTTTCGTATTTGTTACATCAGCTTGGTCCTTGCGTTGGACTCAAGGCTGTAGCCGGGGGGGGGGGGGGGCCTGTCGGTTTAATGTAGAAGTTCAACCCCACCCACCAACCACGACACCACAAACATTCTTACTTACTTAGGCATTCCCTCGTTGGCCGAGTAGGATAGTCTTCCAGGATCAGTGTTCTGGTGGGTCCATGGGTGACTGTGGAGTCCTATTCCTGATCTGCAT